AAAAAAAATATTTGAATAAAGATATTATTTCTGAGAGTGAATCTGTTTCAATTTTCAAAACAGAAGGTAACCGAAGAGCAAGTGTTATTCTATGTCGACTTCGAAACTCTTGCAGTAATTTAAATTATGATTTACACCATGACCATCTTACTAATAGTCCTGCTTGTACCTGATCTGCTGAACATGAAACAGTATCTCATTACTTTTTGGAATGTCCTATTTTTAATAAGCAAAGAACAACTTTGTTCACTTCTCTTAATAGTTATGGAAACCACAACCACATTGATAAAAACATTCTTCTCCAGGGCTGTCCTGATTGTGATGGACTTACAAATAGAAGAATACTTGATGATGTGCATATTTTTATTGGAAAATACCATCGTTTTAATTTTTATATGACTTAAAGCCATGATGTTAAACAAAAATATACTATATATTCTATATTTCATCCAGGAGATTCTAGTTGAGCATGACTACTGTCTATTACGTGTACTTATCTTGACATTGTAAATAATTACACTCTATATGTATTAAATGAATTTATTATTTTTAATTGTAACAGTTGCTGGTAGTAGTGACCTGTGCAATATATGCACATGGACTTTTGGTCTAAGCCTGTCAATATCTGTCTATGATAGCGTATATATATGCTGAAATAAATGTATTTGTGTATGTACTTGTATGTGTGTGTAAGTGTGTATGAGGTGGGTGAGATGTTTCCTTCATGAGTTACTTCCCCTTAGCCTTGTGTTAATATGAATTATTTTGTGTTAATTTTTTCATTTGCAACATGTTTAAAATATTATATCTCCTTGTTTATTCAACTTTGGCCATTTGACGGAGAGAATTTATATAGGCTTTGCCTGTTATTTAATCCAATTGATTACGACATCTTGTCAATAAAATTTGATGAAATGAAATATACCCATGTTGGAGCACTTCTCTACAGCATTGAGTCCACTGTCATAGTGCTAAATTCAAAGACAGTGACCCAGGAGAAAGCCAAATGCTTTTGGTGAAAGAACCAATATGTTATGTCTGTTGACAGTTTTCAAGTGATTTCAAAGTGTTCACATATATAATGGTATTCTGCAATGTTTGTGACTAATGTAAGTATTGAATAACATGTCTGAATTAAATGTATTGCATCTGATTCTGAATTTTGTTATTATTCAACATATTGTGAGAACAGATCTAGAAGTAAAAGTACTGGTGCAACTGCTCATATAAAAAAATCAGTGTCTGCTTGAACTGCATATAAAAGTTTACTTACACCACAATTAAGAATATACCAGGGTAAAAGGTTTAAATTTTGTTTTTTGTTTTCGAAGTCTTGTATAAACAGGAAGGGAAAAAAGAATGACCATACAAAGTTTGGTCTTTGGTAAGATTTTCTGGGTCGATAGGGTCATGTCAAACAAGAACATTTTTAATGTTGGTGATATATATTATTTATTGAAGTGCTAATTATACAATTAGCTACTTTCAAATGATAATAAAACCACAGCATCTTTATTACACTTCACAGTTTAATTTTTAGACCGTCAAATTAGGGTCCTATAGGTCTTAATTTCTACACATATTAATACAGAGTAGGTGATATATCTGACGTGAACTAAAAAGCTATATATTTCTATTTTCCCTCCAGGATTCAAATATATGTAATTAAAACATAACTGAAGCTATTGCTTGACTGGACATCATCCATTATATTATACATAGCATAACAAAACTGGCTTTTCATAAAACAATCACTTATGATAAAGAACTCTTATTAGTTTTGGATACACATACATTTACATCTTTAATCAGTATCAAAGACAAAAAATAATTATATAACCTTCTGTCACAGTCAATCATTGCTTACATTTACACATACAGAAGTACGTAGTGTAACACAAAAAAACTAATCAAAAGGCACTACAGATTTGGATGTCAGAGCGCAACATACTATCACAATTTTGTCAAGGGTGGGTACAGAATTGTCCGATAATGTAAAGAAATCAATCGGAATGGTTTTGTGGAGAATTTCAAACTTGTTACACGCTCAACATAAATCTTAGCATGTGCCAGTTTCCAGGTACTTTCAATGTCGACTGCCGACAGTTGTGGTTTCCCTCTGGTGACAGCAGGAATCTTCGATTCACAACCAGCTTGTAGCAACACTCTCAGCAATGTCAAAACCTCTATCTGCAAACCTCTATGTCTCCATAAACCAGTTTATCCAGGCAACCACATGAGTTTGTTATTAACTTGACTGAAGCTCTTCCACCATATCCATCACCGATGAAACTGATGGACCCCTGTGGTGTGATGCCAATCAGGTATTTAGCAGTGTTATGGTGTTTGTAGTTTGACCATGTTTGGGCACGTGCTTTCAAGCCAGAAGGTCTTTCAATGAAGATTTCAAAGCAATCAATAATGACAGCTGCACGAAGACCGAAGTGTTTACAAAACGCCATGGGCATTGTTTCCTATAGCTCCTCCCTTTGCGGCCAGTAGATCAGTGGTTTCGTTTTCACAAACATTACATTTAAACAATTCAAAAATACCTTGCTAATGGTGCTCGGAGTAACTTGAAATATTTCAGCCGAATATTGACACGGGAAGGCTAACTTCAGTCTGACAAGGACAACCATCATCTGCTGAAACTTGGTCAGAGCACTGCTGTGGGTTGAATGAAGTGATGTTTCCAAGAAAGTGAATAAAGTCATGATAATTTGGAATGTGGCGATTCCAGTCAACATTTTAACCCTGTCATCATTTCCCTGTAACCCTTCTGCAGTTATTGTCATGTTTGCAAGTTTCTGTTTTAGTTCAACACTCTCCACAGTGATTCTGTTATAGTCACTTTCTATAGCACTTACTACACTAGAAGACAGTTCTGTCTGTACATGTTGGACACAGTCACTTGTTACCACAGGGTGATCCTGTGTTGTAACATATGTAACCTGCACTTCATCTTGTCGACACTGGTTGAAAAGTTGAAGAAGTGATTGTGCAGCTTTCAAATTCTTCTTCTTTTCCTCTCGTTGTTTGATTCTGGTACCACGTAGAGGGGTTAGCAAAGTCAGAGTGGTTACTTTGTGGTGGCCCAGCTTCAGAGAAGGTGCCCAGTCTATACTGACTCCTGGATAGAGAGCTGACGGCTTGCCTGTACAAATTAAGACAATATATTTACAGACACTTTTTATATCACATTTGATAATGGATCAAAATAACTGATGTGTATTTCCTTAAGAACACCATGTACATGATACAATATGTTTTAAAAGAAATGAGATTTTTTTTTCCTTTTTTCAAAAATGAATTTACAGTTCACCTTAGTCTTTGATTAATTTTATATATATATATACTATGACACACACAAAAATGACTAATAATTCTACTACAAAAAAAACTCAGGCTTGTAATATGATTAAAATTAAAAAATACCTATTTTATAAGCATATTAAAGGTATTTTATTCTATCAAAGACTGTTATCAATACATTTTGATAGAATTTCATGCTCAAACAAATCGATCTTCGCCCTAATAACACACTGTATTTTATCGATAATCGATGGCCGATCTACTGAGATGGGGGGGGNGGGGGGGGGGGGGGGGGTGTATTTCAAGACCAAGCGAGTCTCGGCGTAAATATTTGAAACCACTGTCCTTAATGTTTTACTTGGAATTTTCGAGAATAATAACAAAATTACGAAAATCATTTGTCAGTCGATCATGTACATACCATTGACAAAGTGCTCTGAACACACCCTAACATAGGGGTATGACTTCTCGGTTAGATCTGCCCTGCTGATCCTGGATAGCCAAAGTCTTCGTCTTTTTGTGGACAACTCTTCAGTTTTCTCGTCCTGGTTTGTGATTACAACTGGCAGTCGAAAGAAGGGAGCTTGACACCTCCCACTCTCGTTGGAACAGCCAATGATCGTGCAATGAACACCCATGACCTCGATAAAATCTATACTTCACGCTCTACTTTCGGCAACTTTCACCCATCCAATATGGCGACCAAACTATATACCAGAAGTCCCGTGACGTCACGACGAAACAATGTATAGGATACACTGCAGATTCTAACTAGGTAGCCACACAGTATGTTTTCTTTGAAGTTCCAGTTAGATCATCAAACGTAGGAATGTGTTTATTTAGTTTTAATGTCGATGTTGATGACCACGATCAAGTATCCGTATAGAAGTCAACACAGATATTACATCTGTATGGCTACATCCTAAACTTGACAAATTTAAAACAAACTCGAGACAGTCATTACACCCCTATGTTGCATCAGTGCCAAGAAGTCTTTTAAAATGTCCATCTCGTTATAAAAAATAAATATATAATCTTTGTTTAACGTCGTATACATTGTCAAAACCAATACGACGCCGCTAAGGGAACAAATAATGTTTTCGTGGTGGAGGAAAACCTATGGGGAAAAGCCACCGTGCCATCGGAGGGATATCACTCTATTCACCAGCCACACCTGGGGATCAAGTCTGAAATTATTGGGAGAGTGAGTGGTCTAAAGCTCAAGCTGTATTGCACTCAGTAGTAATGAATGTGCGTGTAAGCGATCACGGCTACCGAGGCACCCACTGTAAATGTTTCGGAACACTATGCTATGGATTATAAGCTTAACTTTGAATTTATTTTCTTCTAAATATGTTAATAATAAACTACGCTGGAATATTTTCGATACATAAAAATATACGACATAGACCGTAAATAGTTATAACAAACAAACAATACCAAGTTAATTATCAGTAACATTGATTAATCAAACTCATTATCAACAGTTAAGCTGCTGAATTCTCAGCGGTTTTATATAGTGCATATGCCAGCTGATTTGTGTAGTGGCGTCTCTACTTTATGTAAAACAAATTGTAGCAAACACTAATAGATCAAGAAACCAAGATACTTAACTTATTATATGTAATAGCTATATTACTAAATGGAAAATGATTATCAGGGGAAATCCTGGAATATGAGAGCAATGGGCCATTTTCAGCAATTTTAAGTCAATATCAAAATTATGAGAGGCCAGTCAAGAAAATAAGAACATGGATGGGTCAATTTTGAGGGGCCAATGGCCCCATAGCCCCCTCCAGGATTACTCATACTTTTGTATACTGCAACTCTTTGTACTAAATACTGTATGTCATGACATACAGTATTATTAGATTAATTAACTGATGAGTAAACTGCCCAGTCTTAATACAGAATTTGAACTTGATTTATTTCGCGTGTACGAGAGGCAAAGGAGCGATAAGAATCCCATGCTTACCTCCGTGTTGCAGGAGCATAAAAAGTTATAAATCTGTCACTTTATACTCTTGCAAAATTTAGGAAGGATATAGATATCCACCTTTTTACGTCTGCATTTTAGGTCCCTTTGCGTAGATGGCATGCACACACCACCCAATATATCTACAATGTATTTATTTTTATGCATATGACTTTTATTTGATGTTAAATGCTTAGTTGTATGCCTTTATATTTACATTTGCATGGCATTGTCACTATATAGCCCCTTTGAAAGCTGTGTCGTTGATGGGACTTTAATTACCATGCAGCACGAGAGATAATTCTTAGCGTATTAATACAACACTGACCGGAACTAAAATATCCTATGTAAACAAACATGACGGCTGCTGAAATATCGCTAGGCATTATGAGATTTGACAATGTCATTGTAAATTTGTGTGCAAAATAAAAAATAAAATAAAAAAATACTTTTATTACAACAAAAACAAGACCAGGGTCTGCAATATCGTACAAAATGCACATCGGTTGAAATCACCAATGCCGGCAATGGAAACAAGTTTAACGCTCATGCAATTTATCAAAAATATCGTCCGTTACACTGCACTGATCAACAGAGGTTCGTTACAAATGTCTGAAATACACATATATTTTATAGACCTACTGACACATATGTTACAGACCTATGGATATGAGTCACAGCACACATAAACACTTCAGACATTTGTAATGAACTCCTGTGCTCCGTCGCAAGATCACTCACTTCAAACGCTATCAGTTTCACGCGTCTCGCAGCCACTGTTTCCTCAGTTTCTGACGACATGTCAAATGACGAGGCTGTTGTAGAATCTACAGACTGCAGTCAGAATCCCATACAATTTAACAAATAAATTCACGTCTGGATTCTTCACAAAATTAGCAGAGAGAAAAGTTCGAATTAACTTCAAAAAATAACTCCCTCGTGGAGGGCAAGGTCGGATTTGCGGTGTTCACTGTATGTATCCATGCGCTAAATTTGTTCCGGGGAAAAATCGAAACAATTTCAAATCTAACTTTCAGCTCAGAGTTCTATTGATAAACTTAAATCACCCTATAGATATATCATACGCAATTGTTTTGATACTGAATTGTGGAATAACATTGAAGTGTTTGCCAATCAGCACGCGACAAACACGCTGTTCAAACTATTGAACGAAATTGTGTGGACTGTGGATAAGGCGGGCATTTAAAAGTTAAAATATAAATTATAAGTTAAAAAAACCCAGAAGAGGCAGAGAAAACGTAAATATAAGTATTGAACTGTTTTTGTATGGTATTTATGATCTATTTGAATGACACAGCTTTGCAAGCAAACACATCATAATGCGCGCTTTATTTATACGATGTAGCTGTCACTGTAGGAATACTATTATTCATATCCTGTAAAGCGCATTGAGTAATTGTGCAAACTGCATAGGTCTCTATACAAATGCTGTGTATTATTTATTATATTTGTTATTAAGTGTAGAGGGAACGTGTATAACTAACTGTAATACGCTTGCATTGAGTGTTTATATGATACATAACACAACTAAATGTTCCTGTTCTATAATATGTGCAAGTAGTAACGGGGCTCAGTCCTAATATTTCAATTTTGATTATCTTTTTTTTGGAAATTTGTTTACGTCAAAACAATCAATGTACAGTGCACGTATCAAAGCTGTCACACAGTTCCAAAACCGATTAGTATTTTTGTCGTGCTAGGAGTAGGACTAGAAATGAGGTATTTGTATTGTTTAGCCCTTTTAAGATTAATTTGGTGCTAGGTGACCGGTATGTGTTGCCCGGCACCATTTTTGGTTTTACCTGATCAAGGCTTTTAAAAGTTTACATCAGACAAATCTGTCTACGCTTAGGGTTAATTACAAATGGATGAATACCCATTTATGGTTTAATATTACATATAAACTAGAATACTTGACTAACCGTATCAATGATGACTCTTAACATGAAACGGTGAACGTCTTCATGTTACAGAAACCATACTTATGTAGGGGAAATTCGCTCTCGCATAATGATTCACACTTACATTTTCAGAATTCATCGATTTCCATTTAAATACAATTAATTGTTAAATGTGTGTTTTGAGACAATGATACTTTCGTTACCTATATACAATGAACTTTATGTTAGAATGATACATGCTGTAATGACCATTATTTGTTTGTTTGTTGTTAACGGCCTATCGGCAACTATGGTCATTAAGGGGCAGAATAAAGTCTATGGCAGTGGAAAGGGTTTTCATGTCTGTGACATTGAAGTATTTATCACAAATGTATTTGAAATATGAACATTCTATTACAAGCAATGACCGTTTGAAAATAAAGAGGGATGTCAATGGGGCTTAGGAGAAGAAAAAAATAATGTGAATAACAAGAATACATGTAGCTCTTTTATAATTTCACTCATATTTCCCCTTGTTGGATAGAAAGTGATTTTACTGGTGCTAGAGCCAAATAAAAAGAGGTTAATAAAAAAGTTTTGTCACTAACTGTCAGTATGAAATATATATATATGATATGACACAACTTATTAATCAGTAATCAGACATAAACGAGACCCTCAATTTGAGGTCAACCTACAAAATATACGTTTAGACGCATTATTTTAGTCTTGGTGGAAATTCCCCTGACTATTTATAGGTAAAAAACGGTATATCTATATTATCACCCCTGATTGACAGCGTGTTGTAAGTACAGTTGTATCTTCTGTTTACACGTTATTTATAAAAACACACACTTAGATTGTCTCGTCTACAAGAGGAACTTACCTCACGTGTCAATCATCTGGGGGTAAGTACAGTTCTTATCGATTGGTTACGTAACGAAAGAAATTTTAACTTGAACCGGACTGGTTAATACATGATGGCAAGGGCCTGCATGTTTACGCGGAACAACCGGCTCGCATAATGATTCATTCTTACAGTTTCAGAATAAAACGGACGATTTCTATCTAAATACACGTAATTGTTGAATTGTGTTTTGAGAAAATGATATTTTCGTGACCTATTTACAAGGACATTTGTATTAGAACGAAACATGTTGCAATGAACATTATTTTTGTTTGTTTGGGGTTAACGGACTATCGACAACTATAGTCATTAAGGGGCAGAATGTACATGTCTGTGACATTGAAGTATTTATCACAAATGTATCTGAATTGTGAACATTCTATTATTAAAAGCAATGACCGTTTTGAAATAAAAAAAGAGGAAGGTTATACACTTTATTGAGTATATTTCCATTGTCTATTTGTTAAAATTATGTTAAATAATTATTTAATGGGGCTTAGGCGAAACAAATACTGTGAATAACCAGAATGCATGTAGCTCTTTTATAGTTTCACTCATATTGCCTTGTGTTGGATAGAAAGTGATTTTACCGGTGCTAGAGTCAAATAAATAAATGTCAATAAAAATGTTGTTTTCACTGGCTGTCAGTATGATATATATATTTATTATGACACATCTGATTAATCAGTAAACAGACATAAACGAGGCCCTCAATTTGGGGTCAACTTACAAAATATACGTATACACGTATTGTTTTAGTCTTGGTTGAAATACTATTGGGCTTAAGATAAACAAAATGATGTGAATAACCAGATTTCATAATGCTTTATAATAGTGTTATTCCCAATGCCACAT